CAACGAATTTTTATTTTCCGTCGGGCCAACTTCCGGGAGCCATAAGAGTCAGCCTAAGCGCGATTGCACTTATTCGATTGGGTCCCTGCGGTCGGGACCATTGGGTTTCCGCTACGCCGATTGATTGTATATGGGTAAGACCCCTTGTTTATGGGTAGACGAGTAAGACGGGCTTAGTGGAGCTTCAGTCTTAGGGTAAAACCACCTTCTGGACTATCTGGCGTGGAAGGAGTTTTGGTAAAAAACACCAGCTAGACAAGAGCAGACCTCTGGAAACAAGCACAGGAGAGAGAAAAGCCGAACGCAAAGCATAGAGCGGAGAGAAGGATAGAAAGAGAAATCAGCAGAGGCACTAAGATGTCTTCCCGTGGTGGCGGTCGTGGTGGGAGAGGACGAGGAGATTCTAGGGGTGGAGGACGAGGAGGGGGAGGAGGCGGCCGTGGTGGGGACTCGTACAGGGGTGGCGGGCGCGGCGGAGGGAGAGGAGGAGGCCGAGGAGATTTCCGGGGCGGTGGGCGTGGAGGGGGCAGAGGCGGCGGAGGGGGCCGGTTCGGTGGAGCGCAAGAGGATGCCCGCTTCCGAAACGTTCCTCGCGTGCACGAGTGAGTTTATCTCGATCGTTTGGGCTGTCTCCTGTGTGTCAAAAAAGCGAAGATCCAAGAAGAAACAGGGAAAGGTCGTGCGTCCTTGTACTCCAATGTTTTTCTCAGTTGTTTTGGTACACGGCAGTCCATAGCTGCGATGAGGAGCTTTTCATTGGTTGTATCTTGGTGCCGTGCCGGCTCTCACGGTCGGGTTGCAGACTGTCGACGCTGCTGTGGCGCCTTCTGAAAGTAATGCACGCGCTGCTGTAGTCCCATGTACACGAGCGAACGTTGGCCTCTCCCCGCCCTACAGCGCTGTATCACACCAACAGCTGGCTCTTTTTCTCCGACAACTCTCTCTTCGGGGGTATACCACAAAACGTGTATGGTTGCGCAACGCCCACAGCAGTAATGGCATTAATAACCACCCCACTGAACGGCATCGCCCTCTCGTGTGCTGTCGCTCTCTCGCACCGCAACATATGCCTGGCGCCTGTGTGTGCACTGTCTCAGCTCTGCTGTTTGTGTCTGGAAAAAATCACCATTATTGAGAAACCCGTGATCTCATCACCCAGAGAGCGAGCCTCTCTCCTCCAGTCTCCCCCCTCCGAGATCGATCGATAATTCCTACCACTAAGCGCGATTTCCGAACAAGTTTACTGCTGTAGCGAACGCCGCGAACAAATTAAAAGCACGCCCCGCCGCCGTTCCCTGTTCCTGCCTCAGACATGGAGGAGCTGCGGCATGCGCCCGCAATCCGTCTCATGATATTTCTTTGGGTTTTTGTCTGCTACACGTTCATACATGTGCGGTGTACGTTGCGAAAGAAACAACAGCAAACACACACTGAACCGCAGTAGGGGGTCCAGCCCCCCCCTCCTATGTGACCCCGGTTGGGTCGTCTAGCCAGTAGAAGTGGAGGATAGCGGCCAGAGGGGGAGACGGCAGAAGAGTCCAATGATGGGAGAGCATCAAACAAAAAAACACAAAACATCGTGCGGTGGAGTGGGTGGTGTGCGTCCATCCGTTCAACCATCATTGTGCCGTTACGACATGCTGGAAAGCCGTGGTGCCAATCTGCTGTTGTTGTCCCGTCATTCTGCCCACCTATGCATGACACCCTCCTATTGTTGCCAACGATGGACGGAAGCTTGCGCGACGTCGCCCGTCCTTTTTTTTGCATCGTGGCATGACAAAAAAATGCTCTGATTCTCTGAAAGGTCAAAGAGGCACACCGTAAGATTTTCCGTCGTTGCTTTCTCTACAGCAGTAGGTACGCATAGCATTCATTTGTATCCATGCACGCGTTCATGTGTTGAAGACACACACAGAGTAAGCTACGCTGTATTTTTTGTCATCATGTCGCGGCACGTAAACATGAGTGATGACTACACTGAAGGTGGCGCTTGTGCATGGACCTCTGCCGGTGCACTGGCACACAATCCTTTGGGGGCATCGTTGCATTTGACCTGGGTCGAGCAAACAGCAGTGCGGAGATGTTTTTTTTTATTTTACCTGCGCGCAACATGAGTGCTGAGAAGCTTCTGCCGCTCGGCGTATATATCTCCGCGCTGTTGATCTATAGTACCCGAGACCCAAGTGGTCACCTGGGACGACCCGAAGGGATTGTCACAACAACAGTAGAAGTGTGCCACACTAATGACTGCGTCTGCAGTTTGCAGGGCCCTGCTGTGCGCGCAATACTCTCGCACCTTCCCCCCTCTGCGTGGGGTGTTACCTATCTACACCACCACCAGACGCGCAACAGAGCTAAGTGTGCAGGTGCACATTCTCTCATAATTGTCCTGCATGATCGCCTGTAGAAATTTTGATTGCTGCTCACGCTACCGTTCCCCCCATTTCGCCACTCCCACTCTCGGTGCCCTTGCCCTGAATCTGCTGCTGCTGCTGCTGTTTTTCGCCTTCTCCAGGATCCCCATCGTGAACGTACCCGGGAAGCCACTCCCCCCCCCAGCGCCCGTCAGCAGGACCGCCCTCGCGGATACTCCTGTGAGTCGCGGGTGCTAACATGCTGTGCAGTTGGCACTTTGATCGGTGGGCGGGGTCCATATCCAGCGACAGCTGGTCGATTTCGTTGTTAGTTTCCCTTTTTTTAGGGTGTTGGTTTCACTTCTGGTTGCCTCTTTCTTCCCCCGCCCCCCTCTTCTCCTTCAAGTTTCGGCGAAGTCATTCAGGTGTTGAATGCTTGCGCGTGCCGCACTCTTTAGTTCGTGAGGGCCGCGTGAACAACTTGGCTAGTTGTTCGCCCTCTGTTTCAACCCGCGTGTTTTTTTTTCCTGCTTCGCGCTTTTTTCCAGGTTGACGACATCATCCTCCCGCACCGGCCGAACTACGGCAAGATGGGCAAGAAGGTGATGGTGACGGCCAACCACTACAAGGCGGACTACAACAGCAAGCAGCTGCTGTACCAGTACGATGTCAGCCTCGAGGGCTTCGAGAAGACCGCGCTGGTGAGTTAAGATTCGCGTTCTGCTCATTTAATACCGCTGTGTTGCTGTCGTTCTCCGGCGCGAGGGCAATAAAGATGCAGAATCCCCCGTACGTCAAACCCCACCAACCCTTGTTTGTTGGCACCACCCAACACGTATGAATGATTTCGATTTTGCGTCACTGCTGTTGCTGCTGTAACTACGAGTCGACCTCCCGCGCCGAGGGTATCCCTTTCGACAGCAGTGTCGCGCGTTTGCGATGATGACGTGACGCACTTTTTTTGTTGTGCTCCGGTGTTTGTGTGGCGGTCGTGGTGGTGTCCTGGGAGCGCAAGTGGTGCTGAAGTAGCGGATTGATGCCGTCCGCGGCTACGGTCTTGGTGTACCTTACAACGGTATTGGTTCGGCGCCTCGGACGGTATACATACTGCTACATGCAGCACGACGCCGCGTATCAAGTGATGCTGGGTTTAGCGTTAGCACCAGTCAGATGTTACTCGGTTGGCTTCGACCGACTAGCGGTCGCGTTGACAGTGGCACCACCATCACCAACACACCATGAAACTAATAGTGGCATTTACCTCCTGTCACATGATTATCCTAAAGCTAACGTCTCTGTGTCACCGAAACACTTGTGAAAAGTCAACGTTTCACTTTTGCTCCCCTGTTGACCCCTATAGACCCCTCCCTCCCCATTTCCGCTCCTTCAAATAACAGCCCGCAGCCAAGCTCCGCGCCATCTTCCAGAAGTTCAAGGAGCAGCACTCCGCCTCTTCCCTCGGAGGCATCGCCTTCACCTACGACGGCCGCTCGGTCATGATCACGGCGAGGCCGCTGCCCTTCCCGGCAGAGGGCGCATCTTTCGTGGTGGTGTTCGAGCCGGCCACCGAGAAGAGGGAGGCGAACAACTTCACCGTCATCCTCAAGCAGGTGGCGCAGCGGAGGCTCGCCGACCTGGCCGTCTTCTTCAGCGGGGTGAGTGTTTCTTTTTTGTTGGGGGGGTGGGTGGGTGGGTTGCGTGTCGTGTTGTTTTTTTTTTGTCCTTAACCACGATACCTGGTGTCTCTCTCTCTCTCTCTTTCTCTACAACACCACGATTTCACCCCCAGCCCCTCTCTTTCTATCCCCTCCTTCCCGCTCGTCTTGCACCCCGCCCCCCCCCCCGCGCGCGCTTGTCTTCATCAATACACAAGCAAACGAGCCAGAACGCGTACGACTGCATCACGGCACTGGACATCTCGCTCCGGCACGCCCCCTCGATGAAGCTCACGTGCGTCGGTCGCAGCTTCTTCACGCCGGACATGCCCTCGCCCATTTCTGGGGGTGCGGAGGTGTGGCTCGGCTACTACCAGTCCCTCAGGGCCACGCAGGGCGGGCTCACGCTCAACGTGGACATGAGCGCGATGGCCTTCGTACGGAGCATGCCCATGGTGAGAGAGGGAGGGTGGGAGACGTGAGGGGTACGCACGCGCCCGGCAAAGCCGTTTCATGGATGGTTGAGGCGACGTTGAAGGGTATGTATAAACGAACATACCTTTGTATCGGTCGTTGGTTTTTCTCACGCGCGTAGTTCTTGGTTCTCCCTGGTACCCTTGCTCCTCAGCATGCATCCGATCTGTGTAGATGAGAATGAGCTCGTGTTTTTGCGGGCTTGAAGTCATGCCCCATGCCGATCGGTTGCTCTACCGGGTGTCGTGTTCTTTGATGATTTTTCGAATGAGCGCCTCTTGACCTAGTACTTGGAGCGGAACTCCATGAGGGGTGTGTGGTGGTTTGTGGTCAGACGCCACGGAGCCCCCCTTAGTGTTCGTTGCCGGCGGTGTTACCATAGAAACGGAAGCATCGTGCGTGCTCCCCCAACCGCTAACACCACCGCACACACACACGCACACTCACCGCACCGGCGTCCCGCTTTTCCGTCTCGCGTTCTTCAACAGATGGACTTCGTGTGCGAGCTGTTGGGCGTCCGTGACCCCGGTCAACTCAGCCGCGGCATCCGGCCGTACGACCGCCGCAAGCTGGAGACAGCGCTCAAGGGGGTCAACGTCGAGGTCACGCACCGAAAGTCCAACCGGCAGGTATTGAGCCGCGTCTGCAACTGCTGTGTCTTGCTTGTTCGTTGGTTGGTTGTCATGTCCATGCCCGAGAGTCTGCTCTCTCGTATTTTTTTGCCTTGTTTTTTGTCATGTTGGATACGTTCTTCCACGTCGATTTTCTGACGGAAACAGGAATGCTGTGTTGCCAAAAGGGTCATGCATGGGTGGCCAACGTCCGAGGTAACAAGACGATCAACAATGAATTTAACGCCCCCCTCTCCCCCCCCCCTGTTTATCTTGTCAGTACCGCGTGAGCGCGCTGTCGAAGATCGGGGCGGACCAGCTGACGTTCCCTGACCAGGAGAGCGGTAAGGACGAGATCGTCGCCAGGTACTTCGGCGAGAAGTACTTCAAGCTCAGGGTGAGGATCAGCTAGAAGAACACGAGAGAAAGCGAGAGTAAAGACAAGAAGAGAAAAAAATAAGGCACTGGTAGGTGGTGGATGGGGAAAGTTGAACAACTCGTACCTGCGCGCTTGTGTGAGAGAGAGGTAGGAACTGCGGCAGGAGTGCGAGGCAATGCCGATCTTTACGCAGGAAGCCGACACCCACAGTCACACGGGCGGCCATCTGGTCTGCACAATTAACTATAATGCTTAAGGGTATGTGTGTTCCTTAGCGCACAGGATTTTTCGCATCGTCTCCCTGCTCACACTCATACTTGCTTCCCTCCCTCCCCCCCTCACATACTCCCCTCTCTCCCCTCCTCCCTCCCGCCCTCCACCCCCCTCCTTCCCTCGCCGGGCCGAAACAGTATCCGTCACTGCCGTGCGTGCGCATCGGGTCTGCGTCCAAGCATAACTACATCCCCATGGAAGTGTGCCAGGTATGTGTGCATACAACACCCATTTGTCCCGCCGCTGATTTGGGAAAGGCGTGCAGGTTTAAGATGGTAGAATGTAGAGCTACGAAGTATCTGCTGTGTTGCATGTTCCGGGAACGGGTTAAATACGTTGCGGTGCCGGTGGTGGGGTTGTGGTGTCTATTTTTCGTGTCGAGGTTCAGGAGGTGGTCCTGCCTACTTGACGTGAGATTTCGTTTTGCCGACCAACAAATGCATTCATCCACACCTTGTTTGCTCTCGCACCTGCCTGCCTCTAGTTGGGTATTGTAGTTGCTCCGCGATATCTTTTATTGCTGTGTGTGGAGGTGACCTTGAAAAAACCGATCCCCGTTTCGCCAGGACTTCCGTGAATGATTGATTCCCTCATTTCTCGTAAACTGCGTGTGTTTTTTTTTATTTGCGTGCGTCGTAAATGTCTGGTTGACGAGTGTATACACCCTGTTCCCTCAACTCCCGTCTTGACTTCTTTTCCGCTTACGCCCCGTCGTGTTGCGTACCTGTCTCGCTTGCTTACTCGGCGCTTTCTTGGCTTTGTTGTCGTGCAGATCGCCCAGGGGCAGAAGGTGGCCAAGCTCGACGAGAAGCAGACGGCAGACATGATCAAGATCACGTGCCAGAGGCCGGACGTCCGCCAGGGCGCCATCCACCAGCAGTTCAACAATATTAACGGTACGCGTGCATACGTTTCGTTACCACCCGGAGTGTTGCGGTTCACACAAGCCAAAATCAAACCTTGAGGCTAGCAGCGCTCGCTGCTGCGAGCCCTCTTGTATCTATTGCAGCCGATGTCAAACGGTTTGGCTTGTCAGCGCAATCGTTTCGTTGCCACCCGGAATGTTGTGGTACACAGAAGCCGAATAAAGCCATGAAGCTAGCAGCTATCGCTGCAAACCATCGGTGTACCTTGAAGGCGTATATGAAACCAACAGGCTCGCAGTGCGCACTGCTATCCCTCATACCTATAGGGAACGATATCAAACGTCTTCTAGTCGTGTAAAGGTTTGGTGTCGGCTTCTATAGGTACGGGGGGTTGCAGCGAGCGCTTGGGACGGTAGTGCCAGGGTTGTCTGTAGTAGCAATCCTGTTCGGCATCCGGCACGTCGACTGTGTGCAGTGTAACAACGCGAGAGGTTTGTGGAACGCGGCGGCGGCGATAGTTTGAAACTGCATACGTGCGTCCAATAGCAGCAGCGGTATCCTCGGAGCACGCAAGAGAGAGAGAGAGAGAGAGAGAGAGAGAGAGAGAGAGAGAGAGAGA